GGCTGCTGCTCTGCAGTGAGAAGCCAGCGCAGTAGCTCCGTGCAGGAAAACTGTAGTTCTTCTCTGCACAGCCCTTTTCAGGTACCCTTTCCCACCAGGAAGAGGGAGAAGTAAGAAAAGGGCAGCCTTGCCCAGCAGAACTGCAGGTGGGGGGAGTTTTCACCCTCTACCTCCCTGTTGCACTTTTTTCAGAGTCATTTAGCTGTTGCAAGTCACAACCCTGGAGGAGCTGCTTGTAGGAGCTCAGATTTATTTATCAAATACTTGGTTTCTATTTATCATAGATTGCCCAAGTGTGATTGCTACAGAGCTTATAGAAATGCTTAGGTGAACGCCTTTTCCTATGTCTGTTAATATTAAATATTAAATGTAATGCTTCTATACTAGATTCTGGCTCTTTGTAGCACCAGATTGAAAGCCACAGAAGGATTTTATTGTGTTTATAATGTCAGAAAGTCTTGAGTAGCTTTTGAGTTTTCACCTTGGTATTGCTGAATACAATAAAAATTCCCTTTGAGGATGTGGAGTAGAACATGATACCTAGAATGAAGCAAACTGGGAGTAACAAAGATCCTTGAGAGCAATAAGGCTCTCTCTTCCTTTGCTTTTCATCACAGAATTACAGCAGATTCTGTGTGTTAGGCTGTTTTTTCGCATTTGTCAATCCCTCTTTGTCCTTAACCTGATAAGGTTGGGAGCGTTAGTGCAAGGCAGTGATTTCTACCTTATATTGGCAGTAATCCTCCACGGGGGTGCAGAGCCCTGCGGACATGTTCGGTTTGCTCTCAGACAACTTGCTGTTGGTGATTTCCCCAGAAACGAGGCTGCTCCTTGAGCAGAAAGCTCAATAGCATTTCCTGTGAGGTGGCCATAACTGCTGTTTGCCTCAGGATGAACGCACGGGCACTGCGAGCGACCTGAACTTGGCACTTCTGGCCCCGTGCAGGGGTGCCAGCGTGCCTGAAATCTCTGCTGTCCTCTGCAGTTGGGCCGGGCACAGGCGAGAAGCTTTGGCTGGAGTGAAGGCGCCCGGTGGGAACGGCTGTGGCTGGTTTAACTTGGAAAATCAGTGAGAGCAGCTCATGCTTCAAGTGCTCTGTCTTTCTTACATCCTGATGCATCAAACACTAATAGTTACATAGTTTTTCAGCTTTAGCTTGAGACTTTTTTAAGGATGTATCACTTACTTGCACAAGTGGCATTTACCTGGTTCAATACCTGTTGCGCAGCGTAATTGTAATCAGAGCTCTTGACATTGAGGTGCTGTTACAAACTGCCAGCTGCTCGTGTGTGCATTTAGACATGGAGAGTGTCCGCGGGTCTCCCTGCTGTGGCTCTGCCAGTCGAAGAGCTCGATCCCTTCCTGAGAGCGGTAGCCCTTTCCAGCGAGCCGCTTTGGCAGCTTGCAGGAGCTGTGTCACTGCAACGAGCACGACCAGCCTACGCAGCTTAAGACCTTGGCAATGGCAGTTCATTGTGCAGAAAGCGAGGTCACTCTGGTGCGGTTTGTAGTCCAGGTAAAGAACACACAGGTTTGGCACGGGGGTGAAGTAAAAGGTGTGAAACAACAAAACCATGTACCGCAAATCATCCAGTTAAATTCCGTCTTCTTTCCTTCACGATTTTTAGATGACTTGCAGCGTGTCGGTGATGTGCTTCCTTTTCAGGAAGCACTAGGTTTACAGCTCAGTAAGAGCACGTCTTGGAACAAATGTGCCTTGGGTGTCACGGAGGAAAGCGGTGGAAGGAAGTAATACAGAAAACAGGGTCACATTTCTATCATGACCATCCTGAGTTTTTCTCTCCAGTGACTGCCCTGCTCTTCTGTTCTGCATTAAGATTGTCTAGAGATCAACAGATCCAAAGTTGTAGTACTCAGAAAGAAGAGAGGGTAAGTGCTCTAACAGTTACTTGTTTTAGATTTTACAGTGCTGGGATCCTATGGCCTTGGGTTTCCTGTGATGCATTAGGGATCTGGAGTGAAATACGCTCTCAGCAAAAATACACGGTAGAGAAAGTTTGGATGCAAGGCTTGAAATTCAAGAGAAGTAAAATGGCAGTTTATGTGGTTGTAAATGACAAGCACAGCAGGGACACAAAACTTCCTCTTAGTGTTCAGGATATTATATATTAAAATAATGTAATGCTGAAAAGTATTTGGAAAGGATATTAACTGTTATTCCTGAGGTTTATAGCAATCTTCAATCCTGAAACTAGGATGAGACGTAATGTGAGGAATATTATATCCCACATCTTCCCTGTTATGTTTCTAACATTTCCCCCTTCAAATCTCTGGTATTTACCATGGTTCAGGGTAGGGCATGTGGCTCTAACCCCTTTGGTCTGATCTAGCCTGGCAGGTTGCTGCTTGTAGTGGCTCAGGCTTCTCTGAATTCCTCTCTACCCCCTGTCCTGTGACTATGGACTTCCCTCTGCTGATTGCTCTTCTGCAGGGCTCTGTTATTCATCCAGAAGTCAACGTACTAAGTCTGGAGCCTTTCCCAGGGGTGGGAGGGGGAAGGATAAATCCTCTGGGATAATTCTTGGCACATTGACACGCAATTCCCCATGCAACGGTGGCTCCCGTTTGCCATGTTCCCTTCCCAAAGCCAACAGCCCGCTTTGCTGTGGACGGGACCCACAAGGCCGGGAGGCTTTGGAGCTGTGCGGATCCTGTTGCAGTCCCTGGAGCAGCAGCGTTTCCTCTCTCCTTTCCCTCCTCGCTCCTTCCTGGGGCTTCAGTCTCTGGGAGGGCCCTGTCCTTTCCAAATGATAGTCGAATGCTTGTGCAGGTGGCAGAAGCGCAAGGAAAACCAGCGGTGCCCAGAGCCTTGGCGGGCTCTGGCAAGACCAGAGATGGTCATTTTGAAATTTGATAGGGTTGGAAGTACAATAACTTCAAATAAGGACTTCTGTTCCTGCCTCAGGACTATAGTGAGACGCGCATGTCTCTGATGATAAAAATAAGCAAGTTGTTGGTCAGCATTGCAATATGGAGACTTAACCTCAAGGCTTCCCCTGCCATTTTACATATTAGGCTGCCAGTGACCTGTGCTCATCTCTTCAGCACTGGTTGACATACGGCAGGAGAAACCTGTGCTGGCAGGAGAGGGGACATGGTTCAAGATTTCTCTTTCCTTAAGTTTCCTACAGAGAGAGAAATTGCAGAACAATTCCTCAGAGTGTTTGGATTTTGAAAAAGAGAAGAACGGGACATGGGTACCTCCGTTCTCAGTGTGTGACAGGATAGCTTGTTGGAAAGTGCAATAAGTAAATAGCGAGCGCTAAGGAAATGTTTAACAAGATCTAAGGATGTTGCTTCTTAAACATTGCTCCTTTCACCCAGATGGTCTGTCTAGACTAAAATGCATTGGCTTTAACCAATGCATTAAAAACCCTTAAATATCTTAAATAAAACATATATTAAGGCAATGAGATGGACCAGGACTCTCGTGTTGCTCAGTGCAAGGCTGCAAATCTGATTGCAGAGCAGGAACGAGCAGTAAAAGGGCCGTGGAGGGGAGGGTCCCGCGCGGCCGCCGCAGGGCAGCGCCGCGGTTCCTGCGGCCCCCGCGCGTCTCTGGGTAGCGCCAGGCAGGGGAATTGGTTTGACAGCCTCTGCGGCCGGTGCTGCTAGGGCTGTGCTCGTCCTGCGGGCTCTGGCTCTCCCCTCTGCCCCGCCAGCGCTGGGGATTTCAAGGTTCAGTTGCATAACAGGTAATAGCAGGCATTTCCTCCTCCCGGCCGGGATATCCTGGCGCCCTTCAGTCTCTCTCGGACTGTGTTTAAAACAGCCTCCAGCACAGGAAAAAAAAAGAAAAAAAAAAAGTCCAGTCTAAAATTAGCAGCCCTGATAGAAGAAAGGCCCACGGTCGTCCCCTGTGCTGTTTGTCAATGAAACAACAAACCCCCACAGGGCCGGCGGGCGCTTCCGCCCCGTGAGACACGGGCGCGCGGCGGAGGGCGGCGAGGGCCGGAGGGCTCTGCCATCCCCGTGGCCCTGCGTCTCGGTGCCGTTCGCCTTGCTGGGTGCTGCTGCTGTGCACCCCTGTGCACGTGAGCTGTGCTACTGTCTCATCCTGCAGCACTGCAAACCGGGGCCCTTCTATGCCATTCTAAATATCCTGACTTTTAAAAATCAAAATAACAAAAAAAAAGTTATTTTAGTATAGCCTGTTGGTTATAATAATAATATATTTTGAAGCTGATCTTGTAGGGTCTGAATCCGTCTGAATATGACACTCCACAACTGACAGTTTCACACATAGATATTTTATAGGATTGGACACCTGGCCTGATAAATACCTTGTGGCTCAGAAGCATGCATGCCTTTCTGTAAATCATGATTATGGTCTCTAAATTATAAATCAATCTAAAAATGTTTCGTTTGGGGTCAGTTCATTTGCTCTGCAATCAAGATAAAGCTGTTTCTTCCTTTCCTTGCTCCATTCTGCACTCTTCGATCATGAGAGCTACTGGAGGAGTTTTATTTATTTATAGCCAGCATCATTTCCAAGTCGTTCACTGGCATTTCATTTGCTAGTTTTTAATCCATGCATCAGAATCCAGCTCATCTCCATGGAGTAAGATTTATCCATCTCAAAATTGTGTAATGTTGTTTCAGTAGGACTTCAGAAATGTGTGCAGCTCTTCTGCTGTGCTTTCAGACACTTCCTTTGGTACGTTTTGGCCTCCTAAATCCTGGGTTAAAATTACATCCAGTTTCTTTCTTTCACGTTTTCCTTCCTGGATTCTGAGGAAATAATAATGGCTTGTGTTTCTTGGTTGGCAGAAGACTCCTCCTGATATATCCAAGAGAAAAGTCTCTATTCATGTACACCCAGATGCTGCAGAATCTTGTGGGGAGAGCTTTTAAGAGGCAATAAACTTATCTGTAAGCCTTTTTGCTGCCACCCTTTGCCACCTGAAACACTCCTAAGGTAGGAAACTTGGATTTCATAGGCACTTCTCTCTCCATCCATAAAAAGAAATGTACTTACTCGCAAGCTGGAAGACGGCGGCGATGGCCTCCTCCCACCACTGGGTGTCCTGGGAAACGAGGGGCAGCTCCAGCAGGCCGAGGCCGAAGAGGATCTGGCCGGCGGCGAGGGCCACGCTGGCGATGAGGTTGCAGGCACGCATCATGTCGAACTGCACTGCGGACAGGGCACCGCGGTCAGAGCGCGCCGCGCGGCTCCCCTCGCACTCGCACTCACACTCACGCTCAACCGCGCCGCAAGGAGGCTGCGTTCCCGGCCGTAGCGCGGGCAGCAGCGCGGGGCAGCGGTGCTCCGCTCGTCTGCGCAACGAGTTTGCCATCGTTTCCATAGGTATAAGCAAGCACATAATAAGTTCTTGTGCAGTAAATATAAAGTCAAGCACAGAAATAATTACAGGAATAAGTAGAGAAACTAATAAATTATGTCCCCTCCCCCCAGCTGGCTGCTGAATGGAATATATTCGTTGCAGTTTGATAGTTTTAGTCAGATTTCTTTCCCTTGCTTTTCCTGTTAACCTGAGGGATGTCCTGTTTTCCTTCTCTTCCTTCCTCTGCAGCTAAAGGTGGGTGCTGGGGACAGCACAGGGCCAGTCCAGCCTCTCCTGCTAACGTGTTGCTGCTGCTCTGAAACAGAGGCAGCCCAGAGTGCAAGGGGGCAGGGAGGAGAGTGAATGTTCAAGAGGGACTTCGCTAGTTATGAATGAGCTTGGGAAGTCAACCAGAGTTTTATTATTTTTATTTTATTTTTCCTGGAAAATTCTTATCAGAGGATTAATTGTCAGCCAGATTGCTTTATCTAGGGCTTTTTTTGGATGTCTTTTTTTTTTTTCTTGGCAGCAGAAATGCAGGATTTCAGTGTACCCTGATGTCCCAGTGTATTTTTCCATTCTAACACATCTCTTAAAGGTATCTGATGTTCCTGCTCCGTGCTGCCGTGCAGGAAGACTGAGTGTATTTTGTTGGGCTAGCTCATTTTTGTCTCAGAGAGAGGCATTTTCCTGCAACAGTCCATGAATGACAGAAGAACTGAAGTCTAAGAAATAAATTCCTGGTCTTCCAAGGAGACTGTTAGAAAGCATGGAACACAAACCTTGATACTAGCAAGCAAGAGCAAACTTCCTTGCAGTCAGTCAGGTCTGCTGAAGCAAGCCATAAAAATGCATCAAGCCATTCTTTCCTCTTCTCTCAAAAATGTTTAGCCTTTTTGTTTTAAGTTTCCAAGTTACTTCTACAGCATTGAGAGGATTTAGGCGTCTTGCCACGTTGAGCATTTATAGGTAGCAAAGCATGTTGGCTGACACTAAAATAATGTTCTCATATTGTTGAGCTTAGTAAATATTTGCAAAGCTTTGAGCATTCATGTGTTTTTCTACTTAAATACTTCTATAGGACTTTGAGGACTGATAGATTCTGAAGAAATAGCCATGGCTTTGAAACAAGATACATATGAGAAGCTACAGGCTTGCAGCCTTTATTATAAAAGTACTTTTATTCATCTATAAGACTGTCTGTAGTGCAAAACCAAGCAGGTTTACAGCTGTAACAAATTTTGTCTGGCAGCCAGTACCATCCAGATGCTCTGTAAATGCCCCAGATCTCATCCCTGAAATATTTAAAACCCATTGGCATAGCAACACTGCTTTTTTTTATTGCTTAACTGTATTAAAAACTCTGCTGCCTTTGCCATAGAGATTATTACAGCCAGGATACTGAAAATAACAAGTTTATGACTATAGCCCCACTGAAAGCCAGCAGAGTTTGTAATAACTTAGCCTTTAAATAAAGGTTCCTTGATCGCTGATCTCTTGTGGATGGAGAGTGCAGCAGAATTTATACATGGACATACAATGTAGAACATCTTTATTGCTATTACTTGGAGTAACTGCAAACTTGGGGACACTTATTCCCCTAAGATAATATCTGTTGTTCAGAGGGATCTAGAAAGGCAGCTGCTATTTGACAGAACTACTTTTAACCCCAAGGAAGGTGACATGGTTCAGGATGGATCTGCAACAGGCTGCTGATGAGAGAGAGTAGAATAGGGAGGAATCCCTTGGCATAGTTTCATGACATCAGGACAGTGATGTCTGTGGAATAAGCTGGGACAAGATGCTCGGATGGGTTACATCCCCTTTTATAGCTAGCATTAATTTAGAAGGATGTTTTGACTGTTTTCAAACATTTCTGCTTCATTCCTAGTAGCTACGCTCCCCCATCGCCGTTGCCAGCTCCACCAGGTTTGCAGACTGGTTTAGCCCCAGTGTGTGAAACATGAGGTGCGTGAGGGCTGTAACAGCTGTGTCCCAGATGTGCTGGTGTTCGGGTTAACCCTTAGCTTCTAGAACTTGGTGTCTCAGTCTGTCCTGCTGACACTGGTGGCCACCAAATGAGATTTGAACTTGTTGCACCTCTGAAGTCTCGCTGCCAAAAGCAATTCCTGCAGCTAGGGGTGGGTGTTGTGGGTGACTGGTGCCTGGAGTTGTAGTCAAGCAGGGAACTAAAAACTCCTTGTTAATGAGCAACGAGGGAGCCACACTGGCTGCCCAGGAGGGTTCATTCCTTCTGAGATGGGGAAAGGAGCACGGGCCAGCCAAAATTTGAAGCAGCTGTTGTTGCGCAGTATAAAACAGACAAATATAAAAGCCCAATTTCTTTAGCTCTATCCATTTGGAAGACCAGCTCAAGCCTAGTTTACTTTGAGAAGGATTTAATCAGGAACAGGGAATCCAACTGGGCAGCTCGGGGCACTGCCTTACGAGTTCTGCTTCGTTTAAAGCACAGTGATCAGTCAAGGGTCAAAACCCAAGCTCCAGGGATGAGACCAATTCAAATTCCTTGTTGCCTTACTCATTTCCTAGACCAGATGTATCCATCTGGATTGGAAACGTTGATTTGATTTTGTTATTTGCAAGCAGCTATTTTGCTCTATTATGTTATATGATAGCCCCGGGGTGGTTTGCGCTTTGGAAAAAGTAGGTTAGTCAAATGAGAGAGTAATCTATGGTGTTTTGTAGTAATGAGGAAGGATGATTTCACTGAAAAGAAAATCAAATTGTGCTAATTGCTTAAAATGTGAGGTTTTCTTCCCAAACTGCCTGACACATTTAGGGAAATGCAAAATCATAGGCTGGAATCAAAGCTTTTGACGGACCAAAGCACAAAGTGTGTGTGGAGAACACTTCACAGCTTGTGATATTTTAGTCTTTGCTCAAAACGTTCCCTGAGAAGGAGCTCTGCTTTGGCGAGCACAGAGCGAGCGCAAGCATCAGCGCGGGCGCCCGTGCACCAGGAGCGAATCCAGAAAAGCCTATCAAAAGAATTAGAAAAGTCTTTGGAACTGGATGGGCTGGCATTCATTTTTCTCAGCTGAAACTTTTTTTTTTTTTTTTTTAAGGAAATTCCTCTAGTCAAGCTGGTATTGATTAAGCGTTACACTATCGTTGTGTTTATCTTCAGTTTTCTTTTAAAACCAAATGTTTCCCTTTCTGGTTTCTATTTGAAAATTATTTCAACCAATTAGCATTGTACCTTTTCATCCTTTTTTTTTCTTTTTAATTACTCAGTTATTAACTTTAAAAAATTGTTAGTATAAAAAGGCAGAGGTTATAGGAGGGAATTCAATGGTTGCTATGTCTGAGATGAAAGGAATTTGAAAGAAAAGGGATTTCTACCGTTGGTGACCTTTCCTTTTTATGATCCTTGGGTTTATTTATTGGTTACTTATTTATTGAAACTCTGAATCTACACACTGAGGTATCATTCTTATCAATACTAAGTGTTCTCGTATAGCTTGATGTTGGAGAGAAGAAGTGACTGCATGCCTTGCCTTTCAGAATGACCTATAGATTTTTCTAAACATTTATTAGTGAAGTTGGTAATGCTTCAACAGGCTTATAATCTCTTATATAATCCTTCAACAGCTTCATTTGCTAGACTTGGGTAGGAAACGTCTTTGGGGATTGGGTGTCTGTGGCCTGAGACCACAATTTAATCCAAGACTACAATTTAATCCAAGCAGGTTCAGTAATTCAGTTTTCTCTATTATAATCTATCGCCATACGTGTTTTTCATCTGTAACTTGACATCTTGATAAGGTGTTAGCTTGAGATAAGGTATAAATCTCTTGTTTTTTCTATAAAAATTAGTTTGGGCCAGTTCTGAGCCCCTGCTGTGAGTGCCTGGTGATCTCCCGTGCCCGACGCAGTTGTTAAGTTGGGTAGAAAGTAACAGTGATAGCTCTGCGTAAAGCTCGGGGTGTGACGCCTGCCCGTGATTCAGGCCGGGGTAGTGCGTGGCCTCCGCGCAATGAAGTTCTGCTTTTTCTGTCGTTTTGAAAAATCCGCTTTAGGGGGACTGCAGAAATGCAAAGCATTTGAACATGAGGAAAAGCCAAAAAAATATATTTTACTTGAAGAGGCCTATACGTTTTTAATTTGTGGGAGCTCCATGAACTAGTGCTCTGCACACGAGCTGGAGCGGGGTCGTGCGCCTGGCTCTCCGCTTGTGCTGTGTCCCGCTTGGGGTTTGGCCGTTAATAAAGCTGAATCCGTCCGGGAGAAGTGAACTTGGGCTTATTTTAGAAGCAGCTCTCCTGTATAATTCCTGCCTTGAACACCAAGACCACTATGAAAATGCTAGGCATCCTGAGAAATGTTTCTTAACATAACTGTGAGTCTACAATCTAACATTAAGGGGCAGTTTGATCCCACTTCACCTCTGGTTTAGCTCCCAAAGACTGAATGTCCTGCAGCTGCTAGGTAGGAAAAAGAGCAGTTTGGCGACTGTTGGACAATGTAAGCAGAGAGGCCCTTGGTACGCTGAGGGCTCCGGCTGCGTCGTGCGAGCGAGCGCCTCAGGCGAGGGCTGAGCACTGCGATGAGCAGCGGGGCGCCGCTTCGGGCGGGGCCAAGGCAGAACTGTGGAGAACCTGGAGCAGCACTGGCAGCTCCATAGGAATGGGAAGGAAGGATGTAAGATTATTGTGTTTCTCCAGAGCACTCTGATGTTGTGGATGAAGTGCACAGGGGCCATGTATTGAGCAGAAGTCACCCTATGAGCTCATTTACTAACTGAGGCAGAGATCGGGTGGGAAAAGGGCTTATTAGGAAGTGTGTGGCAATGCTTTGGTTTCAAGTGCTGAGCTTGAAATTTAGTGCTCAAGTATTTAATATGAAAGACAGACAGACCTGACCGGAGGGAGAGAAACCAAATGTGATTTTACTTATTTACAGCATAGTAGAATGCTAGTAGGTGTTAAAATGAACATTCACTCTCAGCTGAAGAACAGGCCTCTTGCCTCTGCTGTGATCCACTAGTGCTTCAATCACAGACTCACAGAATGGCTGAGGCTGGAAGGGACCTCTGGAGATCACCCAGTCCCACCCCCTGCTCCAGCAGGGACACCCAGAGCAGGGGCACAGGGCGGCATCCAGGCGGGTTTGAAGATCTCCAGAGAAGGAGCCTCCACAGCCTCTCTGGGCAGCCTGTGCCAGGGCTCTGGCACCCTCACAGGAAAGAAGTTCTTCCTCACATGGAGGTGGAACTGTCTGGGTTTTAATTTTTACCCATTACCCCTTGTCCTGTCACTGGCCACCACAGAGAACTGCATTGCACTGATTGCATCAAATTATTGCACTGAAAACATTGCAAATCATTGATTTGAATGTTGATCTATGGTTAGAAAGGGCATCACAAGCCCAGAGCTACCGACTGAGCTGACTCTGTCTGAGCCTGAACAGTTTCCTGGGCAGAAGCTCCCCCAGATCCAGTAGGGCTTCTCTTGGTCTGTATATGTGGAACAAGGGGTATGTGTCTGTACTATGCTCAGCTGTTGGCTGGATGGGTGTTTACATTTGGTCCCTGTGGAAGCCCTCAAGACAAGTTCTGCTACTCAGGCACCGAGTGCATTTCTGCTTTGACCCACGCGCTTTTTGGGAGGGTTAGGAGAGGCACGCAAGAGCCCAACCATGTGGCATATCCACAGTCTAACAGCAGCTCTGCAACCAAATCTCTGTGACTTGGACAAGAGTCTTTGTCCTCATTCCAGTTGCTGTGAGCATTAAGTTAACGAACTAGATTGTTTCTAAAGGGAGGTGGAAACCTGCCAGCTGAGTTCCCAGCAGGAGAAATACATGCCATGATAAGGCTTTAAATTTATATCATTTAGTGGCATGTGAATGTTAGAAATATTTGGATGGTAATCCTTATAACCGAACTCCGCTTCTGAGTATAAAGATTTCAGATGTGCTTGTTCACTGCTACTAGCAGGGATCTTTTTCACCCTTCATTATTCTACTGCAGCACTTGTTGGACTCCAAATATGACTCCTCAATCCACCTTAAATTACCAAGGAAAAAAATAAACCTCCCTTCCAAACCCGGGTGTCTTCATGGTGTGTTAGCCAAGGAATCACACCGAAGCTCAGAAGGGCTAAGTTTGGAAGGGGTCTCAGGAGACCATCTGGTCCGTCCCTCTGCTCAAGCAAGGTCACCTCAGCCTTGGAATAGCCCCAAGGAAGGAGGATGCTCCATAACCTCTCTCTTCCAGTGCTTGGGCACTGGAATCATTTGAAGGGGCTCACAGAAGCTTTCTGGCAAAAGAGGTAGTTGAAAGAGGGGTAGGTACAGGGCTGAATGGCAAGAAAGGGAAGGAAGAAGTGGATAAAAACAGGAGTGGAAAGTCTCTAGGTGCTTCAGTCAGCGCTGCTACATTGACTTGCGCTCCTTATGGAGATGCTTCCCTGGAGTGAGGAATATGTTACTCTATAAGTAAGTATTTTAAATAGGTAAGGGGAGAAATTGATTGTGCAAGAAGCAAGTATCAGAAAAAATGTGTGATTAAAGTGGTGGTGGTGAAGGTTATTAGGTTAATAATCTGCTGAATTAATAAGCCTGTCTTAATTGCTTGTTCCACTGCTTATTATTTCCTGTATGTTTGGCTGTGTTTTTACTTAAACATTTCCACTCATAGAAACAAGACTATCCAGCACATACAGCAGTCCTCCCTCAGGAGCCTTTAACATGATTTTTCTAAATTAAGACCTGGATGCACAGATTTGCTGGTTCATATGGTTTATTCCTGTCCCTGGACTTCATTTTTTTTCTATTTCTAACCCTTTCTACTCACAAGCACCTCTTTACTAGGGCATGTGTGACTTCCCCTTGTCTTTTATGGTCTTTGGAGTTCACCCCAGGGTTGCTTTCCTGGCTCCTCAACAGCCTTGATGCATCTGGTGATTTGAATGCAAAATGACGGAGCTCTCCTCTTGCTCCAGTCATTCGTAGCATGATGGGAAAATTCATGTCCATGTCTTGTTAGTGGGGAGTTTGTTCAGAGAAGTGTTTTGCTGTGGAATTTGCTCTTCCAGAGAGATGTTTGGTGGATGTGCTCTGTGACTTTTCCCATTCACCCACTCTGTGACCTTGACAGATCATTTTCTTTGATATTTTCCCCCCATATGTGCAAGACTTCAAGTATTATTTGTTTGAAATTCCTGTGGTTTAGTTCAAGCATATGCAAGTCCTGACACATTGACCTACTTGCATATTTTTGGTGTGAATCATGTTCTTTGAGTTGTGTGCGTGATGCGAGGGGACCGGGGCCCTGCTTTCATTTTGCCCCTTCTATGCACGAGCGAAAGTGTAGTGGTGCATTCAGTTGGTTATTATTTACGTACTGCTAATGCAGAAATTGTCAGTATATGGAAAAGCTGCTTCTCCAAGGTTTTAGTTTTTCCTTTGAACTGTAAGATAAGCTTTCCTCTGGATAAATGTACATACATGCATATCTATATATACATATATAGGTGTGTGAATGTGTGTGTGTGTGGAAGTAAACATACATTTTTGAGTGGTGTTGTAACTTTTCTTGCGTTGCTGCTGCAAGAGCACGTTTTCTGCTTGTTCTTCAAATGGCAAGGCAATGTTTTCACAATCATATGCAAAATATTATAGGGTAGCTCATCTCTTCAAGGAATTAACCTATTTTAGAAAGTTTTATATATATAGTATGCATATATATATACACACACACACACTCCCACACGTATATTTGTTTGTATAGTTGTGATTATCTATAACTGACAGGTGTGGATTGTTAAAATAACACATGATTTCTTATTAGAGAAATTTTTTACAATGATAAAAATCTGGATGCAGAATCTGGCCCATAATAACTGAGAGTAAAATGAGACGGAAATACATCCGTCTGAAAAGCAAGCACAACAGATTGGTTGCATCAGTAGTTTCTCATGAGGCAGCTGTAGGGGTAAAGTTTTACTTTAAATGGCTTCCAAAGACTCAAACTTCGCCTTTTTTTCTTGCTATATGCACATGTAAAATAGTGAATAGGTGCTTTATTCATACACAAATTGAGCCATCAGGCCTCAAGGTCCTTCTTTAAACTTTTTTTTTTAAGCATGTTTGTTAGCTAAAATAATTTTTGGGGGAACGTGCTCATACTATAACTCTTACTTCGAATTTTTAGCATTTTCCATTACTTTTTGCTTCTGTTTGTAAGAAATTGCTGCCCGTGCAATTCTGCTAGAAAACTGATAGCTCTGTGCCAATCTTTATAGCACCACCCGTCTGCTGAACGATGCATAGCAAGAAATACCCATGAGCTTGCAGGCATAAAACACACAGCAAGAGCCAAATTCAATATGCAGGAGGTCATTCCAGCTGTTGAATGCAGAGCATGTGCTTTTAAAATCCTGAATGGTGTGCACATTTTTTTGAGGTTAGAACATGGTTTATAAATACTGATCGGGGCAGTGATATACCCCAATTCTCATTTACTCCAATGATAAAATTACAGATATGCATTGAGGGACTTTTTCAATGGCCTCATCATTTTTATAACTATTTATCAATAAAAATGCTTTCAAAAAAAAAAAAAAAAGGAAAATCAGGTCTAAGGACTTTAGAACATTTTGGAAGATTTCTATTTGTGGTTTACCCAAAACTACTACTACTACTACCACCGCTGCTACTACTATTAGCTCATGTGCAAAAAATTATTGCATGCTTTTTTGGGAAAAGAATGATATGGCATGGGTCCACAGCAAGGCATTTTTTTGGAAAGAAATCTCTCTTTTCTTTCTTCCTTTGGGTCACGTGTGAGAGGCCTTGAGGAGGAACGGAACAATTCACTCTCATTTCAAACCCATGACAAAACTCTATGTAAAATCACATTACTAGTGTGACTTTTCTGAGGACTCACTGATAGAGTGAATGATTTTTGAGTGAAATTCATTTGAGTGAATGAGTGAAGCCCAAGGCACTGCTGCTCCAAGCCTCTGTCCCTACCATCCCAATACCCCCAATTTTTCAGCTTATAGCTCAGTTCAAACTATATGTGTTTTTCCGATGCTCAGAATCTCTGAATTTGCAAAATAAGAAGGATGCTGTGGCTAAGGAATCCCCATTGCCCACGCAGAGCACACAACGGACGACTAGTGTGCATACATTTAAGGCTCAGCTCAGTGTATACTTGTGTTTGCCCCAAACGCTGCTGTCTTCTTCCTCCCTAGCACGTCCAAAAAGAGAGAGAAATAATCTAGCATAGTATCAGAACCATATTGTTGCTGCTTTTGGATTTTTAGTGTTTGAAGCGACTGGAGTTAGGGGGTCGCTGTACTGAGAAGGAAGATCTAAGCTTATGGTAGGAGCCTGGGAGGAGGGAAAGGAGAACAGGAGATTCCTCTGCGCTTTAGGCCTACAAGTCACAGGTGTGTTTTTCAGAGCACATCTTTCTGCCTGCTGTACAAAATGGACCATGCAATTGAGAACACGTCTTTGCGAGAGGAGAGGGAGGGGAATTCGGTTTATCGCGGGCACCTAGTCATTCTGACATCCCCAGGTTTGTTTATCTGGGGATGGAGCTTTACGGATGTTGTGAATCAGCCTTTCAGCTGGGATTCCAGTGGGGGCAAAGCCCCTCCTCGTGTTGCTTCCCGCGGCCGCGTGGGTGACAACGGCTGCACTTACGTTTGACGGTGCTGCGGGACTCCTGGAAGCCGGCGGACTCGGAGCCCCAGCCCAGGCCCTCGCACTCGCGCTCCTCCCCGTGCCCGTGCCGGGCGCCCGTGCCCGCTCGGCCCTTCTCCACCAGCCAGCACATCTTCCAGAGCCCCACGCTGCGCTTGCGCCCATCCTCCAGCGTCTGGTACACCCAGTTGGGAGTGAAGGCAGCCGCGTTGTTGAGAATGAGCGAGACCAGGGCTACCAACACAGCTGTGGCTACCAGTTTCTGGACAGTCATATCTGACTGTCAGCTCGCTGCCGTGCGTGTGCGCAGAAGACGCGAGGTCTCAGTCAGCTGCGGCACATGGAAGTCGGGCCCGGCTTCGCTGCGGTGTTATGGGCGGCTAGAGGACATCACCGTTCATTCTCAACGTCGGCTCCCGAGGCACTTCCGATCAAGCAAATGAGACTATGGAGAGGTAGGTGGGAGAAATCCATAAAACACGGATGCCAAGAAGCTCTCCCGGGCAGCTCTGCCCTTCGCGGCTTCAGCTTATCCGCCTTCTTGCACTTTGATGAGCAACGCCAGCCCGGTGATGAACTGCGTGACGGGGAGGTCCATTCCTTGGGACACAAGGTCCCGAGGCACTTCCGATCAAGCAAATGAGACTATGGAGAGGTAGGTGGGAGAAATCCATAAAACACGGATGCCAAGAAGCTCTCCCGGGCAGCTCTGCCCTTCGCGGCTTCAGCTTATCCGCCTTCTTGCACTTTGATGAGCAACGCCAGCCCGGTGATGAACTGCGTGACGGGGAGGTCCATTCCTTGGGACACAAGGTGCTGCCAGAAAGACGCCGGTCCCGCGGCGGGAGGGCCCGAGCGGCCGTCGGGACGCACGCGGGCGCAATGCTGGC